CCAGGTCAGGACTCGCTGTCACAGAGCCTGGGAGGGCAACACCCCTTCCACCCCCAGCGCTAGGTTTCCTGTTCGGATCTGTTGGTTGGGAGTCCGCCCCTGCTATGATATAAACATCAGAGGCCACAGTTGTTGGAGCTTGTCTACGTCTGAAGGGCTGGGGCCGATGTTCAGTTATCCAGAATACCTTGGGCAGCAGGGCTCTCCCGCCCAGCCTGATTCGCCTGGTCCTTAGCTGGTCAAACGCCCTTTGCCCCCGGCGGGCGTTCGCGTGGTTGAGGATCACCGTCGGGCCCCGTGGAAGGGAGAACAAGCGCCACAGTGACTCTTCCTGACCAGGGGAGCTGAGGGCTTGGGGTTCAGGTCTCGTTGAAGTTAAACATGTGGCTGCCAGAGAAGTACAATAATAACGACACCGAGCTCTTGTGTCATGTTTCTTTCATCCGTAGACCTCCAAGCACCTCCAAGGACGGTCAGTATTATTGCTCCATTTTACAGATGGGGAACTGAGGCACAGAGAGGGACATGACTTGCCCATGGTCACCCAGCGGCAGAGTCAGGACTAGAACCCAGGTCTCCTGAGTCTGCACTAGGCAACGCTGCCTCAGCACAGGTAGTTGCTCTCTGAAAGGCCCTGGGGCAGACATGGGCTCTAGTTACGGGTGATTCAGTGTCCTGGCGACATCGTGTCTCTCTCAGGCAAACAAGTCAATAGTCTAAAGAACCAAACCTCACAGCTGACTGAGTTAGGAAACGGTCCGGTACGGCTCAGCTGGGCTTTCCACGTCAGACACCGCCAAGATCTTGTGATACCCTTCACCTTCACCGGCCTCCCTGGAATGGTGCCACGCTATGCAGTGTGAAGGGACCTGCTTGTTCCCGGCCCTTCCCACGCTGATCTCATGTCGTGAGCAGCTGTGCAAGGAGCCCGGGAAGTCAGGGCAGGGTGTGCAGCGTCTGGGAGCCTGGCCACGGTGCAGTGATGCTGGGCCTGCACTGGCTAGGACTCATGGAGGGGTAGCACTGGCTGTTGATTGCTGGGCTGGGCGGATGGGCTCATTAACATTCCCTTCTAATTGCTAGGCTCATAACAATGGCATCTGTTCCCAGAAATGCCACAGTATCCGGCTGGCGAGAGGGCTCCTGATAGCTGTGCAATTACAGAGCAGTCCTCTAACTCACAACTGTCCCCTCTAGTCCCTGCATGGCAGTGGTCTGTTACTTCAGGGGACACAGGAGGGTTTGAAATGGTCAGATAAATCACTGCCTGCCCCCTGCCCTGCCACGCTTACTGCACAAGCCGCTGGGAAGATTCCATCCTCCTCTGGGGCAAGAGGCTTTACGCACCGGGCACTGAGCCCCGTCAGGGTTCGCAGCAGGGGACGTAGCAGCCCCTGAGAAATCCCACCTCTGGGGGCAAGGACCAACCGGCCCAGGCCAGCAGCCGATCGGCCAGGTCAGCAGAGCAGGGGGTACTGGGTGCTGGCAGCATCGTGCTTGGCTGCTGGGAAAACTGAAGGCTGAGCAGCAATAACCCCAGCCAGCCCTTCGTCCCGTGCCACAAACCAGCTCCTGTCTGGGGCCCACTGCTCTCCTGGGCCGCTCCATACGCCAGCACCGCTGGTGAGCCAGGGTGGGCGAGCGGGAGAGTCATTCGGCCTCGTGTCAGGTCAGCGTCTGCAGCCTCGGGTGGGAGCTGAAAGCCACAGTGCAGCTGGGAGCGCCTGCTCCTGACTGCCGGGCGGTGCAAAGACGGGGTGTCTGGGAGGAGGGCTGAGCTGCGGACTGGAGCAGGCCAAGGCTCCTCAGCGCCTCTCGCCAATGGCAGCCGTGGAGTCGCAGGTTCCAGACCCAGCGCTAAGGCCTGAACAGCAAATACAGGAACCAGCTCTTTGTCCTGCTCCAAATCCCTCCCAGCCCTGGCAAGTGGGGCGGGGCCTGGTGCTGATTCCCTCAGGCCCTGGGAGCACGGAGAGGGGATCAGACACACTCCGGAGCCAGACTGTTCTCAGCTGGCTGCAGGAACGAGTGGCAGAACCACCCTGCCTGACAGATAGGCTGGGAAAACAGGAGCCGGCTGGGCTGAGACCTCCTGCTCATTTTACAGTAACATGCTCGTTGTCTCCTGCGCTCCCGCCTGTTTGTCTCACCCACCGTCGAATCTTGGCATAAGCTGCTTTGTGAGCAGCCGGGGGGCGAGACGGTCTTTCTCTGCTCAGCACAATGGGGCCCTCAGCACTCCTGACGCACCATTCCAAATCAGACTGCAGCAAGAGGAACTACAAAAGGACTGAAATCGTTGTTTATTATGCACCATGCCTGACAAATGCCAGTCGCATTGTTTAGTGCCTCTCCGGAAGATGCTCGGCTACCAGAGTGAGGAGTGTGGGGTGGAAAAGGACAGAGCTGTTTCTCCCATAGACAATTTAAAGGCTATTATTGCTTTTCTTCACGAGGGTAGTTATGGGAAAACAGAACTCCAAGGCCCTATTGCAAGAGCCATAGATTAGTACAATGGGCTACATCACAGCTACAAGGTAAGCGATTGCAAGGAAGCTTGTCTCCGGCCCTTTATTAAAAATACAAAAGGGAAGTGACATCCCTAACCTCAAACAAGAGAAATGGGATGGACCAAAATAAGGATTTCTCTCCAGACGGACATCCTGAGGTTAGAGAGACTATCGCTGCATCGGAGATTGCACAGCTATGCTAACAGATGTCTCAATAGTGTTTAACTGATATTGAGGTAGCAAATCATAGAGACATTTACAAAGAAGAGGACACTGTGGAGCTGGTCTCCTGATCATTATCCCTGTAGCGATGTCAAGGTCACAGTTCAGAGCTGGGTTATCTGCTCCTCCTGTGCCAAACATCACGTGGCCTAAAGGACTCTGTAGGGCTGGCACTCACAGCTGGGGGTGGATCCTGCACTCGTCCCTGGTTCTGCAGCCCCGCTTGCACCTGCCGGCAGAGAAAGAGGCCTGTACGGGGTGGGATGAGGACACAGATTTGATGTAAGGTGCATCCAAGAGAGGTGTGCTTTTTCTGTACAACATGTAGCCTTTACATTGGGCTTAATGTAAGACATGTCAGAGCTCAGGATTTACTGACTCATGGGAAGAAGCCCCTGCTCTGAACACAGGAATAACAGACGTATTTTGATTACAAAATCTTGAAAAGTTACAAAGAAACAGGAGTGTGCATGTGTGTGTGTAAACATGTTTGTGGGGGTGCAAGGTGTGCATGAGGCAAGCAAGCACAGATGCAAACGATTGTGCAGTCAGTAGGAGTTGATGTGATTAGCACTTCAGACTGGATAGCTGAACAGTTTATTTCAGGGCTGTTAAACACTGTTTTACATATTTATTAAATTGAAGAGAATTTTCCCCAACTAAGGCGTCTCAATGATCATTCTGTCTGACAAGAAACCGCCATCAGCTGGAAGCTGTATTTGATTTGCAGCACTTGCATCTCTTCTATTATATTACAATGATGTTACTTACGTTGCTCATGCCAGGAGCCAGTAAAACTTAGGAGCAACAGTTGCAGCAAAGATGAGAATTCTGGCTACCTGGGCCCTGGATTCTGCATGCCCAATGTGACAGCTCTGATTGATGAGCGCAGCACTTCATTCCAATCTGTTCAGAGTTAGGCGACGACAGTCATTTTTTTCAAGCCCTGTCATATATAAAAGCAATTGAGTCAGCAGGCGTCAGTTGTCTGGCACAGGGAGAGATTACATTTTTACAAGGTTTAGCAGAAGGTCTATAAAAGTTTGTTCGTTCTTTAAAAAAAATTAATACAAAAACGACAACCCCCCCCCTTGAAAAAACCCTTGAAAATTGAAATGTGATGTTTGTAAAAGTTCTGCTGCAAGAGCCTTTCCATTGCGAGAGCAGGTTGGTGAGAATTTAGAAATGAGACAGTGTCTGAGTGGCATTTCAGGACAATTCTAGGGTTAAACTGGGAATTTTCCTGATATTTCAGCAACTCACATTATTAAATGAGGGGTTTTATTTCACATATTTAAGGGTCATCAACATGTGTAAATAGTAAGCCAAAAGTTGTCTCCTGTTTTTTTCCTGGGCAGTGGAGGGCAGCTAATGGCACTCAACATCCATCCTCCAAGCTCCATCAATCCATCACCTAAACCCAACACTCAGTGCACAGACCTTGCCCTGAAATGCAGCATGCTGTGCTGCACAGCATCCTAGGAAATTGGCCAGACTATTTAGCTGCAAAGTTTAGAGCATTCCTCTTATTCAGTCTCACAACAACCTCATCTTTCTCCCTCCCCAAGTGCCTCCATAACAGAATCACCCTGACTCTTTTCTCCCACAATCTCCCTGTCCAAAGCTCCCTCAGCCATCCTCAGCCCTCTTCCATTCCAGCCTTCCACTGAGTGCCTCGGGGTCATTCATGTCCACACAGAGCAGATGGGATCTTAGCCTTGAGGTCTGGTCTGGAAGCCCCAAACTCTGTACATTCCATGGGGCTTGCCTGATTTGACAATATTTTTTGATTGAAAATGTTTCCCATTAGAAAATGTGATTTCATCAAAACTGACATTTTCAGTGGGAACATGTCGCTTTAAAGTGCACTTTTTGATTTTCTGATAGGTAGAATCCCAATGAAACATTGCTTTTCAAATCAACATTTCACAACTGAACAGCATGTTTCATTTCAATGTTTTGATCTAAAATGGTGAAAATTTCCATTGTAAAGTTTCCCATTTGAAATTTTGCAAGGTGCCGACATCGTGAGCGCGCGACTTTTTGTTGTGATTCAGAATGGGAAATAATTTCAAAATGGCAAAATTTCTCCTGAAAGACAAATGCTGGGTGTCAAAAATCTCTTGCGGAATGCAGGGATTGAAGGGCTGAATCGACCCTGATGGGGGACAAATCTTGGGTTCCAGGAACCCGAGTTATTTCACACCTGGTGCTTGGGCACTTACAGCTCAATCCTGCAGTGATTTCAGGGCATGCATTTTTACTCACGTGAGTAGTCATGTTATCGTCTTTGCGGTACTGGGCCTTAAACATCCTAACTGGTTTTAAGGGGGCACTTGACACATTTGTGCATTGGATTATCTGATGGGGTTGCCTGAGCTAGCAGGAACTGACCGTGATGACCCAGGAGGCCCCTTCCAGGCCTATGTCCCTATGTAAGTCATTTCCTCTGTCTGTACATATTGCACCTAGGTTCACCCTCCAATCTGGCTGCTATTTGCCATTTCACCTCTGCTTTGACATCATCAGATTCCCTTCTGGACGCTCGGGTGGAGAAACGGCATCAGGGCTAACTCAGACCCAGTAAAGTGGGCGGGAAACAGCTCATTCTGCAGACGTTTGAAATAGCAATATGGCTACTGGGGGGAAGAGGTGCTGGTCAGATCCCTGGCAAGCCCCACATTCCCTCGTGGAGTGGTGCATAGCTGAGCCCACTGTTGCAGTAGGAGCTGAAGACTCACTCTGCAGGGATGGGGGTTAGCTTATGATCGGGGGCTGCAGGATGGTTGGTACAGCCCTAGGAAACACCAACATGAATCGGCAGCTATGGATTTTTTTTTGACAGAAGCTGACTCCCCCCGGGACGGCTGTTCATTATGAGTTAAAGAGAGTTACTGGCGCTACATCAAATCTTGTTATAATGATCTTTTATTGTAAATGTGGAGTGTTAATTATCGGAGAGTATTAAACAAAACATTAGTTCTCTGACCCCAGGAGATGGGAACAGTTTTCACCAGTGTCTCCTGCAGAGCTATAGGGCCCCTGGGCTATACGCCAAGGCTTGCGTTGGACGAAGGCAGGCGATGGATAGATTCGACTACTTCTTACGTGCAGAGCTGAGCCTCCCCGTGCGATGTCTTATTTCAGTCTTTCTGACCCAATGCTGGACTCCACTTGTCCAGACCTGCGCTGTGGCAGAATTCGCCACTGGAACTCGGTGCATGGCTACAGTTCAGGTCTCCTGATGCGACCCCAGGGGAGAAAATATTTTCCGAGATGATAAATGTCACCAGACTAAAGAACTGGGAGAGAAGCAGCCAGACTCAGGAGGGAGCTCCGCCTGGCCAGCCCCGTCCGTTCCACACCTGCCTGCCATGCATTGGAGGGGCTGCGGTGGACCCCACTGCTGAAGGAGGCCCAGGCCTGGCAGTCTGGAGTGCAGCGGGGTCCTTTCTATACAGGGGATGTGAAGACATGTTAACCACGTCATTCCTGACTGGGATGCTAGCAGGGCCTGCTTCCTGTCATCTTCCCCGTTGGGCACTGGGGTTTAGCTCCCATTCCATGGCCCAGCTGCAGATATGCGTGAGGAAGTGTTCTTCTCAAGAGCCCCAGAGAGCGACGCTGAGCTGGGACCGGCCCCGGATGGCTCCTGCCAGCAGAGACCAGCCTCCGTGACTATAATAGTAATCACGAGACAAAGCGACTCCCAGGCGGCTGCTCCTGGCTTAGCCCGGGGAGGGCGTAGCTGTGGCTAATCCAGTAAATCTACTTCCTGCGGCTCACGAGAGTCCTGTGCAAAACTCAGCTGCAGACACTCTCCTTCGGGGCAGCTCTCGGACGCGGGGCTATGCTCGCCTGTGTCTGTGCAGCACCCCAGGGTGGGCCTTTGGGTGCTGATGCCACAGAAACGAGAAACATCATCATCACGTCAGGCGCATACACTGAGTCCAGCTGTGACCACGTCTGCCTGGCCACCACACGGGAGGCAAAACACAGCCAGAGCTGGGACCTGGCACCTTTCACCAGCACCATGGCTCGGTCTGTGCTCTCCCAAGTCTATTTTCTCACTGGGGAAAATGCTATTCTCAGCACAGCTGCTGACTCTTACCAGACATGTGTGGTTGGAAGGCCCTGCCTGTGGGCCCATGAAAAGCCTTTGTCACAAACAGGCTGGTCCCTAGGGCCTGGGATACACGACACAAGAGGGAGGCTGCTCTGATACCCAGGGAAGGGAAACATGGGGCGGGGGGGTAGTTTTCCTGTTGAGTTATTACGGCGATAGAACAGTGGCTCAGGAGACGGTGGATTCCCCATTGGTTACTCCATGTAACTTGCACACAAGGCTACAGCCCCTGAACAACTTACCCCGGGGGTCTGATTGTGGAACGGGGTTTGCGTGGCAGTCGAGGGGGCTGGCACATGACTGTTCCCTGATAAGGGCCCGATCCTGCAAACTGGCAAAGCATCTACCAATCCTAGTGTGTTCTCTGCTTTGGTTCCAGGCTGCTGGAGCAGGCTGCCTTTCACCGCACTGCTCTCAGCACCAAGGAGAGTTCCCGCAGCAGGAAGTGCAGGGCCCCGGAGATTCAAACTCATTTCTTAAAAAGGCGCATTTCCAAGCTCTGGGAAAGGTCGAGGTCATGGTGGGGCAGGGAGTCTGGCATGAGCTTTGGGCCCAGGCTAGGGTAGGAGTGAGGGGACAATCGCTGCTCTATGGCTTTATTGGAGACAGCTCACCAGGGCTTAATTTTAATGAAAGAGGGGCTGGGGCTCAAGCAATTTTTTTACTTTCATAACTGACATGGCAATCCCAGAGGTGCCAGGTCTGAACTGCCAGGCCCAGAGGTGCCGGGCTCTGAACCGCCAGGCCTGGAGGTGCTGGGCTCTGAACTGCCAGGCACGGAGGTGCCGGGCTCTGAACTTCTAGGCCTGGAGGTGCCGGGCTCTGAACTTGTAGGCCCGGAGGTGCCGGGCTCTGAACTGCCAGGCCCGGAGGTGCTGGGCTCTGAACCGCCAGGCCCAGAGATGCCGGGGCTCTGAACCGCCAGGCCCGGAGGCGCCAGGGCTCTGAACCGCCAGGCCCGGAGGTGCCGGGGCTCAGCCCTGGCACAAATGAAGCACTGCAGCTCCCCTTTGCCTTGCTGAAATATTTGTCCAGTTTGGAGCTTGAATGTGAAAATGGCTGTAAAGTTTGGAAAGGGAAGCTGCGATCTGTTTGCTGAGCAGAGTGTGGCTGTGCGGGCCCCAACACCGCCTGGATTCTGTGACCCCATCTGAGCAGGGAGCCAGCACGTAGCCAGCTGCACAGTACCAGGGCGGGATCACAGTCTCACCAACCCAAACCCTGTTCTGCTTAGCGGCACAGATCCCTGCTGGGTCCTGTGTCCCTGAGGGCTTTGTTTGCCTGGATGGGTATTGCACAGGAAACCTCTGCAGGGCAGGGCAACAACTTCATTGCATCTATGAATTTACGAACATGCTACGTAATCTCATGTGCCAGCAAATGGCGAGCCCTCCATCCACACGCATCTCTTCTTTGCAGCATGTTTGTAACATGACCTGCAGGCAGCCGTATAAATCAGTCAGCAAGGAGAGACTCGGGCAGGGAGAATCACCTTCTCTGGTGATGTTCTCTGCTTGTGAGGAGAACTGCATCACAGCTAACAAAACAGCCTTCCTGGAAGTGCTGACTGCTTCCACATTCAGTGAAGTAACACTAGCAAGACCTGCTGCAATTACGCCATCTGGTGAGCCCAGCTAATGTATGCAGCAGCAGAAAGTCTAATAACCACCTTAGAGAACCATTAAATGATGAAAAGCTCAGATATCAAATCCTAACCCCTCAGCACAGTTATACTGTGCTTAAACCTGTGAGTTAAAAATTTGTCTTCACGTTCATTAATGCTGGAATTTATTACAGAAAAGAGAAGTTCTTTATTCTAGGAAAACTGTAGCTGGAGCACAAGTAAATTGCAAGCTTTTACTAGCACATAAACCCAGCAAAAGCTTTGAGATACATCTGCATTACACTAAACTGCATCCATAATTCATACCTAAAGGAGAAAGTTTTAGCACTCTCCGAGGTTTGCTAGTATCTATTATTGATGGGCCCATGTTAGGGAACAATAGGCTACTTCTTATTCACAAGCCATTTACTGTTTTAGTCAATTCTGCAGGAGGCTGCAGCACCTTTATTCATCAGAATCAGCTTTCAATTAGATTGCAGCAAGGCCTTGGAAGGGATTTACTGAAGAAGTCCAAGTGACAGTGAATGGACTGAGCCGGGAAAGCGTTGCTGGAGTGAGTCCTGCTCCTTGTGGCTAATCGATAAATCAGGAATGCAAACAGCAGCTCCTGTCTGAGGAGTGTCAAAATCAGCTGCTCACAGGAGACTGGCGGGTTAGCGGCCTGCAGTGGAGCAGAGAAATGCTGGGAACAATTCTGAGGCATTTGATTGTGCACGGGGTGTGTGTGGGGGGGAGGAGGGGTTCGACTCTCTGCATGGGAAATCATTACATACTCTGCAGACCTTTCCAATGGAGCTGGACAAAGCCCTGCAGAATATGCTGCAGGGAGCAGCTATGCATTGTTCCCCCAGCTCCAGGGGACGGACTATTTGACCTAATGGGGCTTTTCCATCTTGGGTGACCATGACTCACTCTGCAAACAGGCTGGAGTTCAGGATGGACGTGTAGATCATGGAATTCACCATGCTGGGCATGGGGGAGGAGGGGAGGAGAGGGGAAGTGAAGGGGGTAATGCCCAGATAGAATCAGAAAGAAAGTTTCTCTGAAAGAGACGCGGGCAAAACTCGAGAGCTGTGAATATAAGAACGGCCAGACTGGGTCAGACCAAGGGTCCATCCAGCCCAGTATCCTGTCCTCCAACTGTGGCCAATGCCAGGTGCCCCAGAGGGAATGAACAGAACAGGGAATCATCAAGTGATCCATCCCCTGTCGCCCATTCCCAGCTTCTGGCAAACGGAGGCTAGGGACACCATCCCTGCCCATCCTGGCTAATAGCCATTGATGGACCCATCCTCCATGAATGTATCTAGCTCCCTTTTGAACCCTGTTATGGTCTTGGCCTTTACAACATCCTCTGGCAAGGAGTTCCACAGGTTGACTGTGCATGGTGTGAAGAAATACTTCCTTCCATTTGTTTTAAACCTGCTGCCTATTAATTTCATTTGGTGACCCTTAGTTCTTGCGTTATGAGAACGAATAAATAACACTTCCTCATTTACATTCTGCAATACAATGTGTGATTGGTGCGGCCCCAGGACTCCTCAAGCCAGGGTCATTCTAACC